GAATTTTTGAATTAAAAAAGTTACAAGGAGAGCCAATAGAAGGTGGAAGGAGGAGGAAGAGAGAGGGGGTAAAAGTTACAAGGAGAGTCAATAGAAGGTGGAAGGAGGAGGAAGAGAGAGGGGGTATCCGAAGAATTCGGTAGCGTGGTCAGTGTATTAGCTTCGCCTACAATGCACCGTGATCACGTCGGTAGAAGGGAAAACCACGATTGTGAGGAGCGAGCTCATCAATATCTTCCAAAATTAGATAGGTAGGTAGAGTGAAGGCTGGAGGAAATAAAAAACGCTTTCTCGAGGCCTTTTGTCCACCATGGAATCCAAAGAGTGACAGAATGAGCTATGGAGTGATTGAATCCTCCCAAAATCTCAGACCCTATCTATATGAGGTCATTTTTCATTCCCTTGGAGGTTAAATTAGCAATAATTAACCTGATCCGGGAGAAGCTTACATTGACCAATCTTAATACCCCTTCTTGCGGCAACTATGCTAACATGCTGCCAAATGCATCAACGATTCTAAACAGGACTCTAATGCATGGTGGATCCCAAGATTGCTTTCATTATTACGAAGCCTCTAGTTGTTTGAACAAAAAGGGAAACAATAACAAAAATGAAATAAAATTGCGAAAGTTGCGAAATAAGAACTGTTATTGGGCTTACCTTCATGAAATTGTCCAACGCAATGAAACCTTGTTGTGTAGGCTTGAGGCGATTAACAAGGTGCTGTTTAGCCTGAAACCCGTATGAACTGTATTCATAGGGTGATTAAGGTGATAAGATCATATGTGATATCTGATCTATGATAAGGTATGTGATAAACTAGAAATATTCATAGAAAGTGTAGGGGTTACTTTAGCCCACCTGCATACTGAACATCCGAGGTTGTACAACAGCTGGGCCGTCAGAATTCTTCTGAGGTGTCTCCACTATGGCCTTAATCATGCACATTACGGTTTGGATACAAATCGATTTTTAGTAGAGATCAACTTACCTGGAACTTCATTTCCAAAGCATCGGCCATTTCGGTGCAGGACACATGTGCAGGAATGTCGGAGAGAGGATGTCGAACCTCAAAACTATTCCATTTAGTAAGCACTTAAAAAAGAAAGTTCTAGGTTAGCTACAAGTTGTGCCCTTAGTCGTGAACGCTCCAGGACT